TGACCTTGGCCTCTCAGGCCCGATTGCCCTTTTGTGTGGATGACCTTGGCCTCTCAGGCCTGATTGCCCTTCTGTGTGCTTTGTTATGGTTCGTGGTATCAGTGTCTACAGGTCACTCAAACTCAAAATCCTCAAGCCCCCCTAACTCCTGTGCTCGTAATCCCCGTATCCGTGTGGGGATATAGTTTTGTGGAGTCTGACTTCCAAATTCTCCAGCTTCCCTACTTTCCTCACCCTAACAACTGCCACCGACGTGGTGCAGACCCTTCTTATCGCTCACCCCAACTATGGCACCCGTGTCCTGACTCGCTGCCCTGTCGACACCATTCTTCACAAACACGCCCCAGTGCGACTCTCCTGATTCCCAACTTATAACTGCTCAGGATGAATCCAGACTCCTAAGTCTGGCATACAAGCATCTTCCTAATTTGGCCTCAACTAACCTTTGTTGGCATCTCTTCCTCTACTTCTCCTGAACTACCCTGAGTTTCAGCCTCAGTGAATTTCTTTCTGCTTCTTACATAGTCAGATGTTGTTTTGCTGCCTGGAACTCTCTTCACTGTCTCTATAGGAAAATTCCTGCTTACCCTTTAAAATAAAATAAAACCAATCACCTTCCCAACTTCTGGTCCCATTACTACACCACTCCATAGCATGCCATGAGAGCATATTACTATACCGTTATTGGATCGTCACTCATCCCCACTTCCCTTTCTACCCATCATATTATTGTGAAATCCTCTTCCAGAGACCATTAACCCTCCTTCTGTGCCCTTGAGACTCCAGCACGCAGCACTGTGTCTGGCGCCCAGTCGGTGTCCCATCAGTGTCTGCTAGCAGAATAGATGAAATCGTGAATGAGCTCACTCAGAAATGAAGGAGAGATTGGAAAATGAAAAGAAAAGAATGATTGAGCAACCTCAATTTGAACTTTGATCTCCTAGTTTCAAAGCAAGATATTTGGATAAAATCAGCCTCAATTTTAGTATAGTACATTAGGAGATTACACATCATGGGGCATAAATTTAGGGGGGCATAAGTCAACTCAAGTCATTCTGGATTTTCCTGTATAGACTGATCCGTATCTGAGCTGCTTTTAGTAGTTGGGCCAGCTGGCAGGTGGAGATGGGTGTTTTCTTTGGGGCGGGGTGGGGAGACAGAGTCTCAAGCTGTTGCCCTGGGTAGAGTGCTGTGCCATCATAGCTTATAGCAACCTCCAATTCTTGGGCTCAAGCTATCCTCTTGCCTCAGTTTTTTCTATTTTTTGGTAGAGACAGGGTCTTGCTTTTGCTCAGGCTGGTCTCAAACTCATGAGCTCAAGCAATCTACCCAACGTGGCCTCCCAGAGTGCTAGGATTATGGAGATGGGTGTTTTGAAAGCTGACCATGGGTTTGCTGCTCTGAGGGCTAGAAAGTTATTTAGAAAATATGTGCAGATCTTATCCGTGAGCCAGACACTTTTCTAAGCACTTTGCAAGTATTAACTCTTTCAGTTCTCACAACAAACCTATGAAATAGATACTGTTACTGCCTGCATTTTACAGACGGAGAAACTGCAGTCAGGAAGCCTGTCTGTCTCTAATGTGTTGTTCCTTCTGCTGAAGTGTCATTCCTGCCACCTGTCTTTGAAACGCAGGCCGTAGTTCTCTGTGCTCCTGTAGCATCTTAATGTATAGCACTTAGTGCAGTGTATGAGTCAGTACATGGGTCTCTCCTGCAGGTAGACTTTGGTACGTTACTTAATTTTACTTCCTTTGTCTATAAAATGGGCATAATTGCGCTTAATTTGCAGAGGAACTGTAGGGATTAAAAGCCCCTGGCACAACTCCAAGGTCATATGCTCAGGAATTGAGCTTTCCCTGTCTTGTTCCTTTGTTTCCCTTGACACATTTTTTTTTTTTTTTTGAGACAGAGTCTCACTCAAGTAGTCCTGATGTAGAGTGCTGTGTCAACATAGCTCCCACCAACCTCAAACTCTCGGGCTTAAGCTATCTTCTCGCCTCAGCCTCCTAAGAAGATGGGACTATAGGTGCCTGCAACAATGCCTGGTTATTTTTTATTTTTTTGCAGTTTTTGGCGGGGGCTGGGTTTGAACCTGCCACCTCCCGCACCTGGGGCCGGCTCCCTACTCCTTTGACCCACAGGCGCCACCCGCACCACCTTTAAAGAGGTTTTGCACTTGCTGAGGCTGGTCTCAAACTCCTGAGCTCAAGCAATCCATCTGCCTTGGCCTCCCACAGTGCTAGGATTACAGGTGTGAGCCACCGTGCTGGGCCTTGACACAGTTGTTGACACAAGACAACTTGTCCCTTGAGAAATTAAAGGAGGAAAACCAGGATGACCCAAGGTCAAGGCTGTTAAGGGCGAAGCATGTCAGCACTTCCAAACCCTCATAATGTTGTTGACAGCTCAGAAGAGACCTTGGGTCTGGTCCTCAGTGATGTTTTGGGGGATGGCGTTAGCTGATGGTGCAGGGGGAGGCGGATTGTGTGAGGATAAGGAGGGAGAGGGTGGTTAGGAAATGAAGCATCGTCTAGTTCAGGAAGGAAAAGAGTCAGAGCAGTAGCAGGCAAAAGAACGCGTCTCAGTTTTAATGGGAGAGGCCTGAACGCATCTGTGGGTGGGAAATGAAGCCCTTGGAAGAGAAGGAGCAGGGAGAATGCCCTTGTCCCTGCCCTGGCTGGAGGACCGGGGTCCCCGGTCCTCAGAATTGCTGTTGCCCCTTCTGGGACATGACTCTGCTGATCCTCTTACCTCATCTAGAGGAGACGGGTGCATCGTACCAAGTTATCGCTGTACATGCTGCTTTGTGTTCTGAATTTCTTCCTCGGATAGAGTCCCAGGCCCAAGAGTGTGAATGATTTGGGGAGTACAGTGGGGTGTCTTGATATGCCATTTGTTAGTTGCTGCAGGCAGATCTGAGTGATTGGAGGGCAGGAAAGGGGGAAGAAAAGTAGAGGACTAAGGAATCGAGTCCCCAAGGAAGCTGTAAGCGAACACCAGGGGCCTGACCCGTGAGACCCCGCTCCCAAGGAAGCTGTAGGCGAACACCAGGGGCCTAACCCGTGAGACCCTGCTCCCAAGGAAGCTGTAAGCGACTACCAGGGCATAACCCGTGAGATCCTCTGCCTCTACCACAGGCATCTCCACACTGGAGGGAAAAATGCCACTGCCTGGAGTTTGCATGTGTGATGGAATAAATAGAGATTTGCTTGCTTTGGTGTCTGATGCTTTCTTTTTGGGAGTTGCCATCATGAAATTGAAGAAGTTGAGCAGAGCCTGTTTCTGGGAGGGGAAGACGGCAGTGACAGCGAGACCCTTTGCTATGGAGGGTTTTTGTTGTTGTTGATCAAGGACAGAACAATTTCATCTTGAGAAATGAGAGGATTTTCCTTGTGAAATGTAAATATAGTACAAAAAAGAAACTAATAATTTAATAATTTTGATAACTATCACCATGGTGTTTGTATTTATAATAATTCAAAAGGTTAATGTAAGACAGGATTTAGATAATTATTAAGAAAATTGTGATGTTTTGAATCTGTAATCTTATTAATAAATATTAATAACATTTTTATCATATCTCAGGATTGTGTATAATCCTTCTCCTTTTTTCTCTTTTAACAGAAAAAATACCGAAAGGGATTTATTGATATTTCGAAGATCAAGTGTGTGGAAATAGTGAAGAATGATGATGGCGTTATTCCCTGTCAGAACAAGTACCCATTTCAGGTGAGTGGCCAGAGTTTTGAAACAGTGCAATGCCAGCCTTTTAGTGCTTGCTGTTTGACATTATTACGTGCTTTGGTGGCTGACTCTTAGGTTCATTGGTCACTTTGATAATTACGACTTTTCTTTATAAACGGCTTAATCTGGGTTGAAGCATCTCATTCTTGTTTGGGCTGTTAGAATCTCCCAATGGTCTTGAGTTTCTAAACCCCAGATTTTACTTACTTATTCAGATTTATCACAGAGCAGTTAGAATGAGGGGTGAGGACCGAGACTGAAAAAGTGCGATGAAGTTTTCCTTGTGAATCTGCAGAGCTGAGAAGTGGCAGGTGTGAGTTACTTTCAAACAGAAATGAGACGAAAAGGGTGGTTGTGATGAAAAATGCAGTATCAGCATTATAGATTGATTAAACTGTGCTTTTAAAAGGGCGATCATGTTATTGTTTCACACAATGACCCTAGCGCATAAGGGTGATAAATATCATACTATTCTTATTTATAACTGGGGAAATAAAGGCTCACCGATGTTGAAGGGCTCATCCAAGGTCACTTTGTGAGTTAAAAGCCTGCCAAGCATCACACTGACGTATCCTCACTCCCGAGAAGGAGGGGGGTCCTGCATTTCCAGCCACCTTGCATCTGGGTAAGGATCTTGGGGCACACGTGCCTTGAGACCTCCAGAGAGTGGAGCTGGGGGATATTCTCGAGCTTGCAGCAGGCAGCATAGGGCCCCTCTCCAACACCGAAACACCCCCTTCTCTTTCTGACAATATTTTTTACACTCTTCTTTGAGGGGTGAACATCTCTAATCAAAGTCACCTTTTCTCCAAGGTTGTGGGATTCCTAAAGGAAAGTGGCAAAAATATTTTTCATGACAGTATCATAGTAGGGTTTTTTATTTTCTAATTGCTACTGTGAAATCATCAATTACATTTAAAATAAACAATTACGAGTCTGGAGCATTAAGATGTTTGAGATACAATGAGCTAAAATATCTATATAGCTTCTGTATTTTCTCCACTGTGGTGACAACAATACAAAAGTAGGAAAGGGCTGCATTGAATTTTCTTTTCCCTGTTCCTCATTTTATATCTGCCAGTTCTCCAGTTTCTGGAAGGTCCAAAGCCCTAACCATCTTTTCCAGACATCTCCATGTCAATTCAGAATGACTGTTTCCTGGTGTGTTTTAACTTAACTGTTCTGTAGAGAGTTGGTTGTGTGGACAGACCTACTTGATGTGTCAAAATCATGGAGCAAATGAGAAAACACATCTCCTCGTGTCTCCCTCAACACTTTTTCTTTCTCTGTCCAGTATGTTTCCTCCTGTTCTGTCTTGTAACAAGATATCTCTACAAAGCTCTTGGAAGTAGGCTTTATGTTTGATTCATTTTGTGGTTCACATCATTGACCCCCCAGTGTTAAAGGGTACAGACCCCCAGAGTTGAAGGGTATGAACCTCTAGTGTTAAAGGGTATGGATCCTCAGAGTTGAAGGGTATTGACCTCTGTGTGGAAGAGTATGGACCCGCTTGTTGAAGGGTATGGGACCCCCATGGTGAAGAGCATGCACCCCCAGTGTTGAAGGGTATGGACCTGCATGTTGAAGGGTATGGACCCCCAATGTT